TCTATCTATATCAAAATACTTGCAAGAACAAGTTTTCCTAGTCATATCAACCAAATAATTCTTCCCATCAAGCCCAATCACATTGTATTCATGGAGATAGCTGTTTAACTCTTGTACCATGAGTTTCTTTGCATCCACACATCTCAGATCCATTTCGTTCTCCACGGAAGGCACAAGCTTCTGTGACAGTGGGACTTCAGCGGCACTCTGCCTATGGGTGTTCCACCATTCAGCCAATTTGGCAACAATTACATCAATCATTGGCAACAGCGAGTACTTTCTTGCGTTTGCAAAAACACCATTGATAGATTCTACACTATTGGTGGTATCTATGTTGTACCTTTCTCATGGAAAATAGCATTTTGCCCATTTTTTCTCATCAACACTTTTGTCTAGATACTCGGCAGCAGATGGATATTTCATCCTAAAAGCACTATAGAGTTTTCCGAACTCAACCTCTGTATAAGCTTTAGCGCACTCGATGAACTTCTTCGCACATGCATCTCTGTGGGTGGCAACGTGTCCTTTCACATTCTGTGACAAATGCCTTACACAATACCCGTGTTGAGACAGAGGGAACACTTCCCTTATTGACTTGATCAAGCTTGGATTCCTATCCGAAATAAACACCATTCCAGGGACATCTGGTGTTACTGACTTCAACTGATTCAGAAACCACATCCAACTTGCATCTTTCTCACCATCAACTACACCAAAAGCAATGGGATAATGATGATAATCAGGATCCTGAGCTGAAGCGACGATTAGAACTCCACCATATACGTTCTTCAGGTGGGTTCCATCTATAATGATGACTTTTCTCATCGATAGAAACCCTTCTATGCAAGCTCCCAATGCAAAGAATAGGTATTTAAACCTTTTCTGCTCATCTAATTCCACACAAGTCCGTGTACCCGGATTCACTTTCTCTAGCATGTACAAATAAGAATATAGCCACCGATAACTCTCCTCAGAACTTCCCCGCACCTCATTAGCAGCTTTGTTTTTTCCTCTCAGCGCTGTCGAGTATGATACTTTCACGCCAAGCCTGCCTTGAACCATATTGATCAGCGTTTTTTGGATCTGGTGTGTCGAATCGACCTGGATAGTCTTCAGCCAAAACAGTTGCAACTAAGTGTGGTGTGCCTTTCCTTTTTTGTCTGATTGTACTTGTAGTAACCCGAGAGCATGTGTGCACCTTGTTGTAAGTGACAATAGTGAAACTATTTGAGTTCATACGCACAGAAGCTCTTAAACCCCACTTGCATCCCTCTTTTGCTCCCCAACATTTTACCACGAAACGTGTGGGATCAGACTTTTTCGTTTTATACTCAAAACCATTCTCATGTGCACCTTTCTGCAGGAGAGCTTGCAGTCCCTGCCTAGTGTCAAATTCTTGACCTTTATATATATCTAAACCATCTTCCCATCCATGACTTACTTGCGAGTTTCCATCAGAATGTCTGACTTCTGTATCATCATCATACACGAGCTCATATCTTTGTAGAGGATCTGTATCATTTTCTTGCATCTCATTGTCTGGCATTTCATTGTCTTGCATTTCACTGTCCGGTATTTCTAAACCATCTCTAGCGGTAGAAAACATCTCATCATTACTTGGACCTACATCAACGTCAACTCCATGATCCTCTCTTGAAACATGCACGCTTCCATGACTTTGATCAACATCCTTGATGAACTCCACATGTAGAACACTTCTACATTGATCCTTACTCATTTGTAGTAGATAACCAAAAATATTTTCGTCATTCCAAATATATGATGGTTTCTTCGTGTTCAAAACCATTGGATAGTAACTAATTTTCAGCTGAGATGTAGCTGCATCTATCAAAACCTTTCTGCAAATTCCCTCCACTAATCCAAGATAAGTGACATCCTCCAAAGATTTTCTCATCACTAAAGTGTGAATCTCATCTTCTACAGAATTCCAAATAACTTTATCACCATCTTTTGAATAGAACCCCCCATAATCAAAACATATGACTGTGTAACCACTGCTACTCATTTCCCCTGAAAAGAACAAAACAATCGTAAGGTAATCTTATCATAGTTGTACCAGTTTTACTAGTCGTACTTAAGATGTCCAGTTACGCTAATTATACCAGTAGTACCCAGAAAGTTTGGTTCATCCTAATCGTACTAATTCACTTAATATGTCCAGTTATGCTAGTTGTATCCAAAAAGTTTGGTTGATCCTACTCGTACTAATATGTCCAGTTGTGCTAGTTGTACCCAGTAGTACCCAGAAAGTTTGGTTCATCATACGAATCATCACTAGTTTTTACGATTCATTGCTCAGTTAACCAAGATATCATATTTAATTAACAATATCAGTTTCTAATAGCCTTATCCAACTAGCTCAGCAGCTCCAATGAGCAAAAAAAAAATCAAAATTTTCTTTACTATGAAATTCTCTAATTAAGAAGAAATTATGTATTATTTGCTCTGCCTATGATATAAACTTGATAATTCAATCAAGAAATCGAAAATAGTATAAGAAACAGCAACAACTAACCTTCAATTTCACACCTCTGATTTTGTCAATGGTGGAAACATAAGAGGAAGAAGACGACGAGGGAACGACGAGAGGTGCAAAAATTTTGGTGGTTGGTTTGGTTGGTTTAGATAACTAATTTTAAGTTGGTTTGAATTAAATTTCTTACTAAACCACCCGAAATTCTTTATTCTTTTTCATTTTTTTTGTTTATTCATTAAGGACTAAACAATCAATTCATTGAAAAGAGGGACAGTAAGATTAGAGGGGGGCAGTTAAATTTTCTTGGTTGTACGGAAGGGCATATGAGATTAAAGTCCAATTTCTTAACTCTTGAGTGTTCGAAAAGACTTAAAAACCCTAAGAAACTCTCTAATTTGCGGTGATACGACTTTAGACTCGTATCTAGCTGTTGGATCTTCCAGAACCCTAAACCCATCTGGTGAATTCACCTTTTTCCCTCCTCTCTAGATTCTACAGTTAATTATCGGTTTCGGAATGTAGAAAATAAGGGATTGTAATGATCTGTTTCTGAATATTCATGTTAAATACGTCCTTATACTTCGATTTCGCGGTTGTCACTGCGGAATCTTCAGTTCGAATTTGCGAGCGAAAGTGAAATTTATCAGATTCTTCGATATCTCAGATGCTCTTTTATCTCCCGTCTAATGTTTTGTCCAAGAGGTGGAAAAGTGTCTGACTTTTGATTCCCAGGTCGGATTGGAGTAATGAGTTCTGTTTTCATGTCCTTTGTGAGCTTAGGCCAGAGCTCTTGGATAATATTTGAGGGTTCCAAACTTTTTAATGTTCAAAAGTGATTGTGATTTTGCATCAAGCGATTTGGTATTTTAAGTTTTTGAGATTATTTTAAACATTTCAGTATAGAATTGAAAACCGTAGAGACACCAATCAATCTTGCAATACAAAAACTTGAAAACTTTATTGCATACAGAAAACGAGGTTACAAAAATTTTGGTAGATACGTTACAACATCATATCCCAATTATCTCACACAATATAAAACTCAAATTGTTGGATTTATAAACTCACTCCAAACTCAAAGGTAAGATATAGATAGATTATTCAATCAGAGTTCTTTGGATTCAGAAGAGCTGATTTTTGCAGTTTGGTCTTCTTCAGCTGCAATGTTAACAACTCTTGGACCCTTGACCTTTTCAGGGGAGAGCTTGTTGAGGTTAATAGTGAGCACACCATTCTCAAGCTTGGCCTTAACAGATTCCATATCCACATTATCAGGTAGCTTGAACGATCTCCAGAACTTTCCATGTGATCTCTCAACTCTATGCCACTGATCTCCTTTCTTCTCTTCTTCTCTTTTCCTCTCTCCACTTACTCTCAGGACTCGGTTCTCTTCCACTTCTATCTTTACTTCGTCCTTCTTCAAACCGGGCACGTCGAGCATTATCTCATGTCCTTCTGCTGTTTCTTTCCAGTCCACTCTCGCTGGGGACAGAGCCACGCTCTGGTCCCTCTCAAGCTCTAATGGGATGCTCTCCAAGATTCTGAATGGATCAGGAAACCGGTCTAGCCAGAGATCGGAGAGCAAGCTTCCCGGAGTTTCGAGTGCAGAAGACAGAGACCCTTCATTTGGATTGATGTTTCCAAGAAACAGAGCTCCTATGAGGAGGCTTAACAAAGTAAAGTAAGGCAAGTGCTTCATCATCTTGATTGGTGATTTGGCTTTCTTGTGTAGAAGGTGGAAACCAAAGTGTTAGGATTTTTAAAACTCTCTTTTTGTTACTTGCTTGTTGTTCTCTATGATGGTAAGCTCCAGTTCTCTGGTGTATATATAAACATTTCATGTTCTTGAAAGATCTTTTGGTATAGAGTCTTGCAGAGATATTGAGATTGTTCTAGCTTTTAGTTACGGACTTGTCACTAATTATGCTATTTTTACACGTTGTGTGTCTTTGAGAGTCTTCTCTCATGTTCCAGAGACTTCATGTAAGTATGTAACAACATGGTGAGCCAAAACAAAACTGGATTGGACTGGGCCATGGTGTTGATTTCTATTCAGGCCTAATTTTCATTGGCCCATTATTATAATTGGTATCAAAAACTGTTTTGGATGGAACTCAAAGATGAGAATGTTGATGAGTCTTAGAGCTTTGGCTGCTGCATGGGAAAGGGATGGGAAGACTGAATGTGCCATGCTCTATTTTAGATTCTGACATTCTAGGGTTTTAGATCTCCATGGCCTATATGTCTATTAACTTTATCTACAAATCTTCCTTTTGCATATTGTGGTCCTCTCACTACTTTTGGCTTGCCATGCTTGTGTGTTAATAGAAGCTTGTTGCTTTGTCTGTCAGTTTATGTTTCGAAAAAGAAAGTAAGTACAAGACAAGCTTCTGAAGGATCTTGTCATGGAGATTTTTGTAGCAGAACATTTATTGATTTAAATGCCACCCACAAAGTTGGTCTAACCTCAGCATGTGAACCTATTCAAGTTTGTTCTTTCTAGATCCTCTGTCTTAGATTCACTCCATGTCCTACTATTAATATCAAGAAACATTTCCTCTGTCTTTGTATGAGGCAATTTGAAGGATTGATGAAGATACAATGCGAAGTGTGCGAGAAGGCTGAAGCAGAAGTACTTTGCTGTTCGGAGGAAGCTGTTCTTTGCAAGCCATGTGACATTGAGGTTCATGAAGCTAATAAAATTTTCCAAAGGCATCAACGAGTCGCTCTACAAAAACATGCAGCTACATCATCTGGAGCTCCTCTCTGTGATATCTGCCAGGTTTGATTCTATTTTCTCTTTCAACAATCGCTGAGTTCTTTAAACGATGGCTCAAAAACATATGCAGGAGAGAAAAGGGTACTTCTTCTGCTTAGAGGACAGAGCATTGCTGTGTAATGAATGTGATGCAGCTATTCACATTTGTAATTCTCACCAAAGATTCTTACTTTCTGGAGTCCAAGTTTCAGATCAGTCTTTGACTGAAAACTCCGGATGTAGTCTTAGCTCTGAAACTTACCAGGTTCAGTCTAAAGCTTCTCTGAATAGTCAATATTCCAGTGAGGAAACTGAAGCCGGAAACTCAGTTGAGACAGACAAGAACCCTTTTGTCAACTTAAGTCCTTAGAGATATACAACATCATGGATCATTGTCCAAAATGATACCTGTAAGACTAAAAGTAGCAAACTGTTGGATCTTGACATGTAATAATAATAGTTTCTGTAATGAAGCCTATGTACATAGTTGTCAAGATTATCAATTATTTTGTTATTTGTCAAAATGTAGACTTTTTCTTTTTAGGATACATAGATACAAAAAGACTGCGTGTAATGTGTAATTTTGTTTTTGAGAAAATTGCGTGTTTTGAGATATTTTTATTTAACAAACAATAGATATATAAGGAAACCATCTACATGAGATAGAGAGTTCATCTCCGAAAATGGATATTGACGACAGAAGGAGGCATGAACAGTGTTTGTTGAATAGAAATGGCAAGTGGTAAATGAGGATGGAAGAGGAATGAACATATCTTCTTGCTCCGACCATCTGCACTTCCACACTCTGGTCCTGTTTCATTTTCATAAACACAATCACAAAAGTTAAAATCATGTTTGGTTCGGTTTAATATCTAAACAGCTTAAACCAACCTGGTTTTTTTTTTGTTCAAACAGCTTAAACCAACCTGGTTTAATCTTGAATTTCAGCGTTTGCGGTTGTCTTCGAGATATAAACTTGATTGGATTGTCTGATGATTGTCTATGCCTATCTGCTGCAGATATTAACTGTAAACATATCCGAAATTAAGCTAACTGGCTAAAACCGAATCCCGAAACCGAAGAGAGTTTTAAGGTTTAAAATGGTTACCTTTTCATCGAACCGAAAGAGAGATTGGTCGAAATATGGAGAAGGACTTTGTGACTGACAACTAAAAGGCAAAGAGACCAACATCTTCTTCACAAACTGTGTAGAAAAATTCATTAGATGTCGAAGATTACTTACAAACAGAGATGGTACAGAGCTGTAATAACCTGAGAAAAACTGTTTGCTTTGTTCTTCATGTACTTTAGTTGTTCAAGAGCGTGGACGCTGTTAGAATGCGATGTGACAAAGTTCATGAACGGTGAACTACTTGATACTGTAAAGTGATCACTGAATTGCTCAAATAATTGGTAAAGATCTTCTGCTGAGTTCTGCATAAAAATCAATGTACTAAGTCAAAGTTATAAGTAAATGCAATTTTCCACAAAAATCAAATCCATTTTACCTGATAAAATGCTACAATGTCAGTTGTTTCCATATTATACACCGCGAAGAAAGCTGAAAGATGATCAGCATTTCTTCCTACCTGAGTTATATCCATCAACATCAGAAATCTAATCAGCCAAATTGTAAATTCAGAATACAACAAGATCAGTTCGATGCAACAAAGAATGTGTATTAAAGAGAGCTCACCCCACCATCTACACTGCCAAATTTGATTAGCAGGTGATGCCGATCCAAAAACTGAACCTGAGTATCATGAACAGACACAAAGTTAAGTGCTTTTCTTCATCAAATGTAAATACTTGAAACGAAGTCCAGTAGCATGAACACATAATGACCTTCCAGATAATTAAGTCGACATAATCCTGGAAATGGAAATAGAACTTCTTCTTCAGGCTTTGGACCCTCTGACAAACCAAAAAATGTCTTTCGAATTAATTCAATCCAAGATGTAAATCACTGATAAGCATTTCAATGCAACATACGAAGAAAGGTACAATCTGCAAAGAGCTTGAAAGATCAACTACATCAACAAAGTCCTAAACTTCAAATTTCCCTTATCCGGTTATCTAATCTAACAAGTATAGAGATTTCACACTCAAGATCTAAGAGAAAAGGAGTTGGCAGCAAGGGGAAGCAGTAACAGATTATCAGACACGGACACTATGCACTGAAGTTGTAAGATTGTGAAACTCAGAACAATTGCACAAAAGGCACAGAGTAGCTCAAGAACAACAAACCAGTGTGTTATCCGATTCTTCATTCCAAATCTCTCTGAAGATGAAGGAAAGTAGCCGTTGCTTAATGCCACTAAGAAACGAATTCTCAGGATTTGGTTGGCTATGATGTAACCCATTATTCTCCGCATCATCTTCCCTGTTCCCAGATAAACTTTGCTGTTTGTTCTTATCTTGAGTCATCATCGCCTACATCAAAACCTTAGAACGCTTCAATTTGAGTACTCTAGCTAACAGAGAAAGAAGTGAGAAGAGACTGTAACTTTTGCTTGACCTGAGAATTGGAATTGAGGAAAAGCTCATCATCTTCGCGACAAAAGTACCCAATTGCACGAGCATCGACGAGATGACCCGAATCCCTAATCTGGAGAAGATGAATTTTCTGATATCGCAAAGATAGAATCGCGAGAAGATCATCATAGAGGAAAACCCCCATGTTATAAGCCAAATTGACGAAATCATGAAGAAAAACCCTTTCGTCGAGGATCACACCATCGTCTAATCGGAGCAAAATGAAAGTGATTTTGTCGATCGAAGGAACACCAGGAACAGCGCCGGGAGAAGGAGCTGAGTCATGGATCTGAGCAGTTGAAGCAGCGAAGAGACCGAATCGGTGAGTGTGGAAGTAGAGGAAGAAGTCTTTACAGATGAGCTCATTCGCGGAGGCGAGATTCACGGAGTAGAGCTGAGTGAAGAAGCTATCGAACCTCGAAGCACGGCGAGGAAGAGGAGGAACCGTATCGTCGGAATCGGAAGTGTAAGTGAGCCAAGAGGGACGATAAACTATGAGCTCTTGGTGATTGCGGCTGAAACTGATGAGGAAGAGCCCGTCTTCAGTGAATTTGCGGAAACAGTGATCGGGACATTCGACATCGTAGAGAGTGAAGCTTGGGACTAGGTTTTCGTAGAAGTTTCTAGCTCGATTCACCTGCAATTTGAAAGCCAAAGAGATAAGAGACGGCGAAGGAGAAATTACTCAGGGAGGTGGAGAGAGAATTTGACTGACGGTAGCTCCGCGAGGAGCAGTTCGAATCTGACGCTCGAAAACCCTAGCGGTGACGTTACCGCTTGAGAACATTCCTGACCCAGAAAGGCACAAAGCTTTAAGAGTTTGTTCTTGGTTCACTGGGAAATGGTAAACTGGTGTGGAGGAGACGACGATAGGAGAGAAACTTTGCCTCTTCCTCTTCTGACGATTTTGCTTGTAGTCTGGTTTCTACTAAAATTTAAGTATGGGCCTATATGGGTATTTTACAATGGGCTCATATGTGCAGACTGACCCATACTATCTGTTATCTGTTAACAAAGCGAGTTAACCGGATAGCTACAGCCTACAGTCGATCCGTAGTTAAACTGAATTAAATTATCCAAAGCAAATCGCCACTGATGATTGTCGAGAAGATCGTGTAGGTAGAGATTAATTTTCTAAATTTTCATTATCAACCAAAATATTAATTTAGCTATTCGATATGATTATATCAAACAAATTTTCTCATATGGGTTTATCAATTTCATTTGGCGCTCAGACTTTTATTTAGTTCAATTTTTATATATTTCTTAACTTATCTTATTATATAATGTGTATAGTTAAAGTTGCTAATTAACCAAAAAAATAATCTTATTTTTAAAATTATTAATCTACATATCGCAATCATTTGAAATTAGCAACTTTGACGCATATATTAATTTATCTATTCGATATGATTATATCAAACAAAAATTTTCATATTCGGTTTATCAAATTTAGTTTGTGCTTTTTTTTATTTATTTCTTCACCAACTTATTATATAAAATTGCATGCGTCAAAATGGTTAGTTAACAAAAGTTTATTTTAAAAAAATTCATTTTTTTCTTATTTTATGTTTTCTTTTAAATTATTAATCTAGTGTTGTAATCATTTGTAATTAGCAACTTTCAAACGTGTTATTTTATATAATTTATACTATAAAAGATGGCTAACTCTCTCCATATGAATGTCACCTCATCATTTTGTTTTATTGTAGAAATGACATGTGTCATTTAAAAAAAAATTATGATACAAATTATTATACTTAATTGGGGTTTAATGTACTTGATGCATTAAGTATTAAGATATTATAATTATAAAATATATTTAATGCATAAATTTAATGTGTTAATCATAATACTAAAAGAATATAAAAAATATGAAGTATTAGATAATATATTTTAACAACAATATATATTTAAGATCCAAAAAATATTATTGAATATCTATTTTTTGGTAGTTTTTTAAAATCGACAAAAAATTATGTTTCTTATTTAATAGTGTTTTCTTATTTCTATTTAATATTATAAGCTATTATTATAAAAACAATTATACAAATATAAAAATAACGATTATTTGATATTCTGAACCTAAAAAGTTAGAATAAAAATTTATACAATATTATAATAAACTTTAAAACAACTTCTTTATAAACTAATAATTATTTGATAATTTATTTTATTCAAACTTGATCCACTAATAATTTTAAATTAATAAGATATCAAAATCCTAATATATTTATTTATAAAATATTTAATACAAGTGTATAAATTAGAATTATAAATCAATTATTTAAGCTCATAAAAATATAAAATGACAGCATTGCTATTGTATAAATCTGCGTCGTGAACAAATACAACATGTTAAAAATGGTCGTCTCTACCTATGTTGTGTTTGAATAGTTTTTCTAATTAAATTTTGTTATATATTATTTTTCTAATTTGTAGTATATCTATTTAATATATTTTATGTATAAGGTATAACATATTTTACATTTTCTTATCAATAAACCATTTATCACATATATTGTTAATATCCATATAATATGTAAATACATATTGTATGTTTATTCGAATACACAACACCCTTAAAAAAAATTTATATTGTGTAATTACACTTTTTAATAAATTATATTGTGAACAAAAATATGCGCATCGCGCGGGTACTCATCTAGTAAAATATAAAGTGGCTTGACTAGAAATAACCATCTCTATTGTTTACATATCCATTGAAACTATAATACACTTGAAATAAGAGCAGATTAACACGACCTACTCAACTCTGGATTGTCCTTCTTATGGATGGTTAGACCTCCCACTGAACCTCACTTGGAAATGTTTAATCTGGAATCACATATTTTGCCTCAAGAGCTGGAAGGAAAAATAAAGGTTGTAGAACAAGAGAGAGTATTAACTGAATATAAGGTTGTTAAGTCATTGCGAATGAAACTCAACCATGGAGGTTTTAACTTCTAGAGTTCCCGTTATTGGCCTTCCGCAAGGGGGGGGGGGGGGGGGGCATCAGGTGACAAAAACGGTCAATGACGGATCCAACTTGAAGGAGTATGGGGCATGTGCCCCACACAGACTTTCAGAATATTAATTTTTTTTAACCAATTATTAAGAAAATTATGGTTCATATACTTGATTTTCTTGTTTTATTGAGATGTGCCACATACAAAAATACAGTCTAGATCCGCCACTGAGTACGGTTTTATTTGGTCAATGTTTTCAAGATAGGAGCAAGACTTGGCCACAGAGAGGCCTGAATAGAGGATTTTTCCGAGGGAGGAGGTTGCTGAGAGGCTGCTTGAGGCTACCTGTAGAGAGAAGTCAGTGGAGCTGAGAGAACTTGCTCTAAGGTGGAACTACAATGGATCATCTAGTAGAAGTTTTAGAGAGTTTGTGGAAAAATTGGCTGTAAAACCTTTAGTTACCGAAAAAACGGAAACAGTAATGATTATAAATATATAATAATTTTTTTTTGTTTGTTTATAATATTTGTCATTTTCTATCAATTCACTTTTCTAATATTAATATTTTATCATACATAAGTTGTGATATTCATTAATTTTTAATTTTTATTTTTATAACTAATTAATTACATATATTTAAGCTTGGATGGTATTTTATAGTTTTTTTGGACAACTATTTTGTCCAATGTGTTAAAACCCAGGTTAGATCCAACGAAATTTGTTATGCTATCTGATTCCGATTCAAATTAAATACTAAATTTAATCGACTAAAACCAGCTAAAATAATCAAAATAAGTGACTCTATAGGCGATACTCTTATAAACAATATATACAATTGCAATCTTTTTATTCAATAGGTATTATTCCAATAATAGAAAATAAGAAAATATTATCTAAAACAAAGATAAACTAAATTCCCTTTCATAATGATAATAACTTATGTTCACTATTAAAATATCTCATGTCCATTTATACTCTAACTTAGGCACTTTTTTATTATGTGTAACGTAAATTTCATCTTTTCTAATATCCCAATAATTTATTTTACCATGTTCAAATTCAATACTGCTACCTCCATATGTCCTAATCGATGCCATCTTGTCATTTCCAAGTTTTCTGGTCAAAACACAATCCACTTTATTTTTAGAAATGAATTTACCATGAAATCTAAAATCATATGTTTATCCTGGGGACAGATGAAGATGTAATATTGGTTTCAAGTTTAGTGTACAAAAATTTCAACATATTTTTGTGGACCAAAAGAGTTTTAAATTGTACAAGATTTTTACCCCATAGCTTTGCGTTACCCAAACCAAACAAACAAAAAGCATAAAAGATGATTCATTGTTTTAGTTAATCAATATGTTTATTTTGTTAGATATGATATGTATCTAAAAGATATATGGTGCAGATTTATATAATACAATGCCAATATGCAAATATATACATAAATGTATTAGGCAAAAATTAAAAAAGTTAAATGGAAATGTATTATATTTTTAGAGAATAATGGTAAAGTGATTTCTAGTTTGTCATTTTATAATATGAAAATATTCTAAATTATTTGTATTTTTTAATTAGATTTTATATTACAATCTTATCTTATTAATTTTTTTTAATTTTCTTAGATTTGCTATTATCCTAAAAATACTTTTATTCACCAAAAATAAGAAAAGTAAATTTTCTTCATATTTAGCAGTTGACTGAAAAATTACATTTACAAGATACTGTTCATCATTTTTATGATGATATTGTTTATTCCACCACTATATATAATCGGATAGCATAAAACAATATTTAATTTTAATGAATAACTATTATGAATTAATGTTTTATATTTATTTATAAATCAGTTAAAAATAATTCTATTATTATAAGATTAACATGGTAATTATTTTCAAAACAGGTTATACATAATGATAATATAAAAAAACAATATATGATATTTTTTAACGTGCTAATATATTAAGAATTTTTTTATTAACAAGGTAATATAGTAAATATATATAAATTCCTAATAATTAAATTCAAGTCTTTTAAAAATAAAATTCGAAATTCAATATTTATAATGTACTATGTAATCCTCCACATTATATCCTACTAAGTGATATTATATTTGGACTTTTTTTGTTTAATCAAAAATTATAATGAAGATGATATAGAAGAAGATGTGGTTCGTAGTATATTTACAAATTATATGCGGATCACTTATTACTAATTTATTATGCAGTTTATTTGGTTTTGCATTGTGTAAAATATATTAATTAAAGTTAAATTATTTTCTTTATATAATTTCATTATTCTATTTTTTATTAGTTGGTAATCAGCGCTATGCGCCGATGTCTCACTCAATTTTATCCATTTTCATATAATGTATTTACTATATCGTAAAGCTCTGAATATTTTGAGATAAATTTCTCGTTCTCATCTTTATCCATCTAATATTTTCTGTCATATTTCTAATTCTATTCAAATATTATCGATTTAATATTATTAAATTATTCAAACAGGTACATAAAATGAAGGAATATAAGGTAAGCTACTCGAATTATCCATTTAGAAATTTAAGATTATATTCATTTCTCAAAAAAATGTTGATTTCTAGTCTTTTTACAAAATATTAACCTTTACCCAAACTTTTTGAGTGTTTGTGAAGAAATTTTAAATAATTTTTTTTATGAACCTTTTGAATTAAAAAAAAAAAAATTCTGAACCGACCCATTACCTGATTTACCTGTTCTATTTTTTTTATTAGATTTTTTTGTAGAATTTTTCATCTTTTTTCAAATTACTCATTCTTGTCACATCTCTGTATATTACCATTTTGTATCCTAAAATGTCTACGGCTAATATATATCTTAATTTCCAATAGCACTTTATAAGTGTACTAGTATTGACCCCTACTACGTACAGGGAAAAAAAATACTATCA